TCGTGCTCGACTAGGATTAGGTATTGACGCTGGGGATGTTTAGCTTCCGTTTAATGTTGGCTGGCAAGATTTGAAGGATCTTTTCCGCCAAGCTGGTAAGTATGGGACGGCAGAGCCTCTATTCAACCGCCTTCTCTGCCTCCTCTCCGTCGCAAGCGTCTTCAGGACTGACATTGACTTCTCATATAGCTCAGCAGGGCGCTGTGATCCGTGCCGATGTTCACACCGATGCCACCGGCCGTCCCAAGGGCTCTGGTATTGTCGCCTTCGAGTCCCCCGAGGATGCCCGGAATGCCATTCAGCAGTTCAACGGATACGACTGGCAGGGACGCCAGCTGGAGGTTCGTGAGGATCGCTTCGCTGGTGCTGGACCTGGGTTCGGTGGCCGTGGTGGCTTCGGCGGTCGCGGTGGCTTTGGTGGTGGTTTCGGTGGCCGCGGTGGCTTTGGTGGCCGTGGCGGCTTCGGCGGAGGTTTCCGTGGTGGTTATGGCGGTGCGCCCGGCGGTTTTGGTGGTGCACCTGGTGGTTTCGAGGGCGTGCCCTCTGGACCTCCTAACCCGTTCACCGATTTCGCTACGTCTGGCGGCGACAAGAGCGCTGTCATCTACGTGCGCAACCTGCCTTGGTCGACTTGCAACGAGGATCTGGTGGATCTGTTCTCGACTATCGGCAAGGTTGATCGTGCGGAGATCCAGTACGAGCCCAATGGTCGCTCCCGCGGCACCGGTGTGGTTCAGTTTGATAGTACGGAGACTGCGGAGACTGCTATCGGTAGGTTTTGTGATTGCATCTGCAGAAAGACATCTACTAACTGTATTACAGCCAAGTTCACCGGCTACCAGTACGGCGGTCGTCCCCTGGGCATTACGTTCGTCAAGTACATGAACGCCGGCCCCGGGCCCGGTGATGTTGCGATGGACGGCACTGAGCCGACTGCTCCGATCACGCAGGATCAGATCATGTAACACTATCATATGACTTGTTTTTTCTTTCGGGAGGACATATCGAGGCCGAAAAAAGTTTGCGATGTAACACTCCGGATCGAGAAAAGAATGATCTGTTGGCGCGGGTTCGCGTATGCTGCATTTTGTTCCATACCAGGCATACCTCATGATTTGTTTTGCTTCTTATTACTATCGGGCATTCTATTTGTTGTTTCATTTCTCCGACTATCTGGTCTGGCGGGAACGCATCGGATGTTGTTCAAGCTGAAATTGCAAGCGGATGGCTTCTGGTGGATTTGTTCCTTTGCGTTTGGACGGTTGCCCTAGCGAAATTGCTGCACTGGAGGGTTTGACCCGTTTGATTGTTTTGACTTGTAGGCTTGTAAGTGGTAGGCTAGGACGGAGATACCCGACTATACATAGTAGTGACTGTATTGGATTTATCAGTATGTTTCAAGCTATTTGCAGTGGCTCTTTCGTCTACTCACATTCTACAATTTTGAGAATTACACATAAGCTAATCATCTAAGATTATAAGCAGTGTTAGGCTTGCCCTGTTTGATCTTGTTCTCTCCAGTAGAACAGTAATACGAGTAGCCCATTCTTCCCACGGAAGACATGAATGAACTTTACTACTACTACCTATGAGCAATGGTAATAACCCTTTGAGGATGACCACATCCAGTGAAGTTGATGAAGTTGTACCTCATCTTCTCAGACAAAGATATTGTCCAAAAGATCACTGATTCCTTACTAAGTAGTGACTTCTTGTCTACTCATTTGTCATAGAAAGTGAAGATATAATGCCCTCCGCTTTTATCATCCTCTATTTGTTCTCCGTATCGCGACTCGCAGTCGGATCTTACTACCGTCGTGACTACTTGGTTTGTAACTCTAATATCTGTCGACGGTACTGTTTAGACAGTGGTATATACAGGATAGGAGGAGGAGGATGAAATAAGTTGATTCCGGAGGATATCTTGTGGAGAAAGAGGGTACTGCTATAGACCAATTCCATTCTATCATATCTAGATCTTTCCAAGAACTCTTATCACCATAGAAGATCATCAATTCAAATTACTTCCTAAAGATTATCAACATGGTTCTTCTGAGTAAATGACAATAGACAGGCTTAATTATAGATATATATACTAGTAACAATTTGGAAAACTTACTTAATTACTCCTTTCATATCATTTAACTATCTATCCATATAAAGTCATATCTCTCTCTTCACTCCCTTATATCAATAGTTCCTGTGAAATTGCTCCCCCAAAGGGTTCGGCTGATAAAGATTTCTCAGCGATTCCTCTTCCCTCTCCTTTGCTAATCTCTCTTCTTCTGCTTTCTTAGTAGCGGCCTCCTCTTTCTTCCACTGTTCGATCTTTTTCTAAACAAGTGTATAATAAACCAGGTCACTAGTCTGTCTGTCTAGAGTTGAAGATAACCATTGCCTCGAGCGATGGATATTTCTCTCCTTCTCCCCCCGTATACATAGTACTAAGAGAGTAGTACTACTATGCTTTACTTGATCACCGCAATGAGTACCACAAACGGTACAAGGGTCGGGTCCAGCAGCTCAGTCGCAGACTTTTTGACCATCCTATATATGTTTCCCCAAATTGTTTAAAAAAGAAAGAAAGAAAGAAAGAAAGAAAAATCCAAATCGCAAGATTACATTCGGTAAATTCCAAGAGGGGTCGGGTGGATGGGGGATTTCACTGGCTTAAATAGACATCGAAGATGGATAAATACCCCCCACCCCTAACCCGCCCCCACTCCCACTACAGCTGAGAATTTTGTCTTTCCCTAAAATTGAGAATCATCTACGTAGCAAAGTGAGAGACTTACTGGCTACGTTTGCAGTTTCAGCTATTCGAGGTGGCCCGCATCATCGTGTTGCCTCTACTCCCAGGATGAGCTAGTCTAGTAAAGTAGTATTCGAGATTAGTACTATACAATATGAATTCAAACTCTTAACTTTATTCAAGCTTTATTTATCTACTAGTATATTAATCCATTTCATATATTTATATATTTCCAATTCTTCTTTCGTCACTTCATTACATCAACATTTAGTAGCAATGAGCGTAACCGTCCTCGTCCGTCCCAAGGGCTTTTCTCTCTGCCTCTTCTTCCTCGATTAATCTCCGTTCTTCTTCCACTTGGGCTTTTTTCTTTTCCTCCTCAGCTTTGAATGCCTCCGCTAATTCTTTCTATAAGATGTAAGGGGAAACCCCCCCCCCCCCTAGTTAGTAAGTAGTCTGTCTGGTAGTTGAAGATAACCCAAGCGGATTATCTATCACTAGTAGTAGGTTACTAAATGTATAATAGGACTTTATTTCACTTGACCTGCGACAAGCACTGTCACAATAAGTACCACAAGTTGTGCAAGGAGGGGGTCCATTAGGGCAGTCGCAGTATTTGTTCCCGCCCTATGTAGTATAGATCATCCCGAATTGTTAGGAGAATTTGGCCACAAATGGTAGTTACATCCCAATTCGTTTATTATTTATCACTTACACAGACATTGCATTTCAGCGCATAGCTCATCCCGTCGTCATCTTCAGGCTCCCACCGTCCCGGAGCGGTGCCTCTGCCATCGCAAAAGTGACACCTGTGTTGCGGCATGATAGTTATATTGAGGATGAGAAAAGAAGTATTTCTTAAGTGAAGAATTAAAAGAGATAGGTGTGTTGCTAGAAAGAAGAAGAAAATAATGTAAGAGAATGGGGGAGGTAGGGGGGATTTTACCTGCTTAAATAAATACTAGAAATATAGTAGGTAAGATAGATAGATAACCACAACCCCCACTACAGCTGAGAAACTGCGTCTTTTTCCTTTTTTTTTTTTTTTTTTTTTCTTCTTCAGCTCCAGCTGAAATAGTTATCGAAGAACTAGACTAGCAAACGTGAATGAACCCAACTGGTCATGTTGCAGTTTCAGCTATCACCAAGTTGCCCCGCATCATCTCCTTTGCCTTTTGACGATCTGCTCCGATATAAGCTAGACTAGTACTACTAATCTCAGATACGCTGTCCCGATGCATCCACCAAACCTCAGCCACGCGCTAGTCTAGTTAGTTACTAGTTAGTTAGTACGGAGTATATACCCGCAGTGTTCCGTTCAACGAGCTGGGGTTTTTGGAACATGATACCATCACTATGACTTATAAACATGATATATAGAAGTGGGCTAATCTGTGATTATACTACTAATTAAGTTGAACTTCCCCCCCTCATCTCAGATTATATCGAATGCCAGTTCAGGAACCCTAATACAGTCTACCTTCCGAACACGATCTATTGCCCCATCCACATCCACATATACTAATCTAGTGAGACTGTGAGCCACATCCCCGCCAGCTGATCATCACACTGAATCCGATTTTTCTCGAAATTCTCTCTCTGGATGCGACCCCCACTCGAGATTCTTCAGTAGACTGTTTCCGGCTAGGGTTACTTACGGGTCTAAGTGGCCACCTCCGGTCTACCATCTAATTAGACTTTATCCTAGTACTGGCGGTGAGATGTATAAATAGATGACAGGCTGCAGACAGGCTACGCTTTGATACATTACCTATCCTCAGACCCTCTTCAGCAGATACGGTGGCGTGTTCAGATAAAATCGACTACTACCAGATGAATTGCACTACCTCCACTTAGATCTCTTCAGTATTCTGGTACGGGGTCCATAATATATGGTATAGAGAGTTGCACGTAGAAGAGGTAGTTGGCATTACTGCTTCAATAATCCATCCATCAGAATGGATTATCATGGTAGTAGTAACATGATAAACCCCCCCCGAACGTATCCGAGAGGTGTAGGAATGATCTATGCACGGACCAGAGATGAGGGAGTTTTTGTTGTCTATAGTAAGTATTCCAGGGATAAGTAGCCAGGGTTTTCTTTGGGGCGGGAGGGCAGTCTTCCACAGCTTAGTAGTGTAATATATACATGTGTCTGGACATGGTTATTCCAAAATTATGTTATGTATAGTAATGAAGAAAGCTGGACAATAGATATTACTATTCACTTAATGGAGAAAATAAAGCAATCTATTTATGGGAAAGGAATGAATGACAGAGATACACAAGCGATGAAATGAAACGATAAAAGAAAGGAAGGAAGAGACAGATCTGAAGCACAGTAGAAATCATATAGAGCCCCTATATCAACGACAAACACCCGTCCGTCTACTCCCAGGCTAATACCCCTCATTCATCTTCAGCCCCTCGCAAATATGTCCTCCGCAACTTCCGTGGCTTGTATTCACCATCACTACCCTCATCAACAGCTTCCTCTTGGTTCAATCCCTCCTTCTCTGCGGTATTGGTGTGACCCTGCGCGGCATAATTGGGCTTATCGCCAGCAGCAGCCCATCGAGCCCGAGCTTTGGGCCCCTTAGGCGCCGTCAGGACCCTTGCGGTAACGATCTGGAGAGGAGGCCGAGATTGCCAACCATTGGTCGCTACAATGTCATGATAGCTGTAGTGCGGGCGTGTCACGATTAGAACCCGAGCACCGTGGTGAGGCATGAAGCCGACGTGAAGGATATGATGATCCATGTTATTGGCATGGCGATCAAAGGTCGGAAGGTCAGGCAGTAGTTCAACTACAAGATTGCCAAACATATCGCCTTGGAGACTGGTGAACTGATGGGCAGCTTCCTCTAGGACTTCGCGAGTTCTTTCTTCGCGTATGGCCTGATCTTCCTCGCTCAGTGAGCCTCGGAATAAGAGCTGGAATGTCTGGCTCGCTAGCAGTTCGTCTCCATACGCCTTGAGAAGGGCCTTCCGGCGTTCCAGTGTCGCATGAAGGAGTGGTGTGGGAGGGGCTTTGTTGTACCCCCATTCTGTCGCGCTGAGCATACATACGCTCACGAGGGTCGACTTCCACCAGGCTGCGTCTTTGGGCAATGCTTTGCAAGAGGAACAGAGGAAGGGGTATAAGTCAGCGGGCGTGGCTCAACAGTACGGGGAGGAAAGAGTAGAGGGTATGAAGGAGGACAAAGGGGTCTTGAAACTTACTTTCTTTGAACCTCTCATAGACATAGTCGAGTCGTTTGCAGAAGTTGTCGTCTCCTTCCTGGTCAGCAGCATCCATTTTTGCATCCATGAACCAGAATGTGGAGGCGGCAAATTTATCATAGATGAACTTATTCATCATGGTTTCCAACAAAACAATCCCAAATTCAGCACGACCGCCAGGGGGAAGAGAGGAATATATACTGTCCCAGTCATCTTGGATGCAAAAACCATCCAGACTTGCAATGATCATCCGTTTGTCATCATCAGAGAGACGGTACATTGGCTTGCTCTCACCCCATGCCATGGCCCAGTCCTGGACGCGTAGAGCGAGCAGACTAAAGCCGTTGCGGACTATTTCCGGAGCGGATCGTATATGAGGTCGTGTAAGCACGCCCATCATAAAATGATGTTCCATTATGTCATGATACTCCTCTTGTTGACAGAGATACTCGCCATTGGGGTACACAGCTGGCCCCTTTCCCTTCTCTTGTACGGCCGGGGGAGGACGCTTGGGCGGCATTTGCTTTTTCCAATTAGTGACCATACTGGCTATTGGTTGGTTGGCTCAAGTGGTTCAAGTAAGTCAAGTAGAAGAGGTAGTTCTGGGTTGGCCTGGGAGAGGGGAGGTGGGAAGAATGATGAGGAGAAGGAGAAGGAAGGGAAATGGGAGGAACAGTAAACGGAGGGGAAACTGAGCAGGATGGAGGGAGAAGGTTCGGCCGGAAGTCTATTTCTTCATTCATTCATTCATTCAGCCAGCTCTTTTTAGTTCAACCCCAAGCTTCTTTGCTGCTCATTGGCCCTTAAGGCTGCCCGGCTCTTTGTGCGATGTGAGGCATCACCCAACCCGGAGTCTAGCCGCCTGAGGGTTTCAGCCGCGATCATACCTTCTTGGTTACCGTCCCTCAGCTAAGTGGCAGATCGGTTAATACAGGGGTAGGGTCACGCGTGAGCAGAAGTGTGACAGAGAGAGACACGGCCAGACGAGCTGGAGTGCTAAGAGAAGAAGCTGTTCTGGTACTCTCCAAATATAGTATCATAGACGGTGATAGACTTTGCAAGAGGAGTAGTAGTAACTCCGATCCTCCCCAGAGACACAGCGACACAGCGTCAACTATCATAAAAGGGTAGGCTGGCTGCTCTTCCATCTGATTTCTCATCTCATTGCAGTTTATGGTGTGTGTATTCAGCCGGTCCTGAATACATAGAACCCCATGCGTTGTCCATCACTTCTTCATGCCCTTTTGTTTTCTCCCGCATTAGCGTAGTCCCAACATGAATCACCACTGGATGGCTATCGGTGTCGATGTGGGAACTACCAAGACTGGCGAGTCCCCTTTCCCCTCTCCCCTCTTCTTCGCCTCTCTTTCTCTTGTTCTTCGTGCTTCCGTAATATCTGACAAGCCGTGCTTTATAGTTGTCGCATACGCCCTTCTGCACGATCAGATGGATCTGTGGATACCCCCAGATGCCCATGACTGGATCATACCAACAGCAGTTGATTATGACGAAATCGGCCAGACAATTTGGGGCAACACAGCCGCCTCGCGCCCAGACCCTCACGTGTGGTTCAAACTGTTGATCCACAGCTCCCCTGTAGTGGACTTGAGAGAAGATAATCTTGTTGGTGCCATTGGGGGGACTATGGGGCGTGATACTGCCGGCAAACTCATTGGCGACTTCCTTAATGTCCTGCAGCAGAAGCTACTGGCTCACTTCCAGAGATACGGTCCAGCGCAGATCGAGTGGTGCTTTACGGAACCCGGATGCTGGAACGATCAGGGCCGACTCGACTTCCGAACCGCAATTCAGGACCGTATGTTCAATGGGCATGCCTGCGACGTTTCATTTGTCTCTGAAGCAGAGGCTGCGGCGGAATACACCGTCCTTGAAGGTGCAAACAGGGGACTCGTGCAGGTGAGCAGCAGCGGCAGTAGTGAAGATATTGTATGTGTGTGCAGATAGCTGACAGCTTGAACTATTAGCAAGGGGATGTGGTGATGGTTTGCGACTGTGGCGGGGCCACAACTGTAAGGCTCACACAGATCAAGGGCACGCATCAATTTTCCAGCTGACAATCTAGTTAGGACGTTGCCATCTTACGGGTGAACGGTACCAACCCCTTTACCTCCCAACCTGTTGGAGATCCAGCCAGTAAGTGTCACCCAGCTGCCGCTACTTATGCCCCATATGAAAGCTCATCTGTTCCAGGTTTCCGGCTCGGCGCTGTGGACATTGATGCAGCCTTGATGGAGCAGGTCCGACAGGCCTACTGGGAAAGTGATCAGGGCCTGCGAAGGGGAGCACCTGCTGCTGAGGCTCGGCGTGAGATCAGCAGGGTCAAGGAGAATTTCACCGGTGGCCCTGGGAACGTCCCGATTTATATCCAGGGCCCTGAACGCGGTGTAATTATGCATCAATTCACCCACGACGACTTGATAAACGCGTTCGAACCGACTGTGGAAGGGATAATCGATGTGATAATCCAAAAGATATTGTCAGCCGGAGCCAAAGTCACGAAGGTGGTCCTTGTCGGGGGTTTGGGAAAATCAGAATACCTTCGCTCCCGAGTTCGCCATGCGCTCCATGACGTCTACGTGGACACGCCGCCTAAGTTAGTGGATGCTTTGCCAGACACGTAGGTTGCCCTCTTCTTCTTACCAGTATGTCTTTATTGACTTTTGTAACAGCATCAGAAGTGCAGTTGCATGCGGGGCAGTGTTACGTGCACAAAGGGTGCCTCCAGTGCGGTGGTTTGAAAGCCGCTCCCAGTACGAATTGTGCTTTCCGTCTGTTGACGTGTATGGCGACGGTATGCCAGACAAAGTTCTTACCAATACGATTATTGCAAGAGTGAGTCGACGAAAAGGTCCCCGCCACTGCCTTGTTAACCAAGGATTCTCCGCTAACTCTGCCTGTTATGGGAAGGGACGCAGAGATGTGCCTGCGAGCGGGTCTTTTATACCCACTGAGAGGATGCGCTTGGTACCCCAGCGGATGGGGGACCGTTTTCTTCAGATTCGCATTGTACGACAAGCGGAAAGTTAGTTGCCTCTTGCATTCATCCCCAGTACCTGTCACTGCTTCTTCTTGTGTGACTGACATATCATCATCATGTTAGCTTTGTCGGCCGCCGTTGAACGGGTCAAGATCCCCGCAAACGTACCATTCCATTGGGCCAATTGTGCTCAAGGGATGGTTCATAAGTATCCACTAAGAGTATTCTGGTCCATTCATCTGGGATCGGCAATGTTCATCCACTGGAGAATATGCATAGCGGATGGTCAGGACCGGATAGAAACTGTGTTAGCTGAGTCTTTCCGTGAGGTGTCTCCCCAAGACTTGATCCCCGTCGTGAACGGCTAGGATCTCGATGCATATTATCTTGGATCTTTCTCCGTTTCTCTGACGATTGATCTAGTGCTTGTTGCGTTTATTCTCAGACTGTATCTCTCGTTCTTGGTTCTCGTTCTTGGTTCTCTCTCTCTCTCTCTCTCCCTTTTTCGTTTTTGGTTTTCAACCACTATACCCTATAGACTGTTTGTTATTTTTAGCGCCCCTATAGATTGACATCAATAGAATTTGCGCATTTGCTAATTACCGTGGAGACCCTAGATCCATGTAATAGTGATGATTAGCCCACATAAAGAGGTAAACGGGTCGCGCAGACGGAGGAGGTCGAGATATAATCTCCCATCCCCCTTCAGCATCAAAATCCGTAGTACCGTAGGTTGATGTGTTCTAGACTGAGAAGCTGCATTTCTCTTGGGAAAATATGTTTAGTGAACGGTCAAATGGTCAGTAGGTATTCCACATGTAGTTTAAGTAGGTTGGCGCCGAAGAATTGAGAGGATTGGTGGGTTCGGGCTGTATACTGTTCAAAGGAAGGCGCTACTGCTTTGTAATAAACACAGTCATCGCCTGAGGCCTGTAATGATGCCTGAGGCGACTATTATTTCTACCTGAAGGGACTCCACTGTTGGCCTCAGGTAGAAAAGCTAGAATTGGTATGAAATCTGCATGCACCCAAAACAACCCTTAGCTTCTTGAGGTGTATTGGTGGGTGTGGCATGAGCAAAGGCTGTTATGGAGGCAGCCTGGCCGGTGTGGCAATGGCGCCTCCCTATTAATCTGTCAATTGGCATTTTATACATTCAGTTCAGTTCATTCGTAAGCTATATAGATAGATATCCAAAGTCCTGATGAAGGACAAACGATCCGTGTTTGTTTGCATGCATCCATCCGAGGATTCAAACTCCCAACGACCAGACCAGTTCAAAACCAAGCAAAGCAACAAGCATGCGAAATAAAACAGACGCAGAAAGAAAGCTCAGATCAACCAGCTGAAGCACAAAATAAGATGAAGACCAAAAGTTCAAATGGTGGGGGAATATTGTACAGAGAATTGAAGAAACCAGGCATCGCAAACGGTGCATAAGTGCAAGAAGTGAAAAAGAAACAAGTCCCAGCCAGTTATCCAGAATTGAACCAAACGCCTTGGATCATCCAACCGTCCATCCGGTCCGTCCATCCATCCGTGGACCGGTCACCACCACCTGTCACATTGCAAACGCCGAAAAGTGATATGTCAAATATGTTAGGGGCGCAGCGAGTAGGCTCATTGCCTGACTTCAGCGTTCCCGGTTTTGGAAGTGAGTAATCTTCCTTTCGATGGAAGAGATCATCACGTCCACATATGCATGCGTGAGAATAATGTACATAGGAAAGTAACAAAGGAAATCAACAAAGGAAATTGGTGACATAGGAAAAATAGCAACACAGCGCCGGAGCACAGTCGTTGCTTATGCAGCCATACCGGTTGGAGGGTAATGGCCAGGAATCTGTAGTTCAAGCGTCGACACACTATTCTTGGACTGCGGTGGAGGACGCCTGAGGCTTCCGGTTTGCGAGGCAGCCGCCGAATCGGTTGTGACAGGTCCAGCCAGTGGCGTCCGCATTGAGCCGTCTACCGAAGCCGCCGATTGCTGCTTCGTAATGCCCACACCGTCCTCCACCAAGGTGTCGTCTTGAGCGTCAGATTCTTCCCGTTCATCAATCGACGTGGGCACGGTGGTATGAGTGTAGTCGGTTACATTCGTCGTTGTTGGTGCGGTTGATGTGCTCTCGCCGCGCTCCCTCTGGCGGGTCAGAGACGGATCGCGAGAGTTTGTGGACCCAAGTCCCGCCACATATAAATTCGTGGTACTCCCTCGATCAGATCCGACTCTTTCCCGGTTGTCGTTCGAGTTTTGGGTGTGTTGGCCAAACTGTCTCTGTCGACCGCCATCTGACGTGCTCATCCAGCTGCCATAGTAGCTATCGTGTCTCTCCACTGGAGCTGCAGCAGCAGCACTGCCAGCACGGTTCTGGCCCATCTCTACATCATTGCTGAATGAATCCCGGCCGTCAGGTAAGGAGCCGGCTGCGGCTAGAAGATCTCTCTCACCAGAGCTCTCACCACTAGAGGGTGACAGTGGAGCCTCCAAATGGCGGTCTATTTGCACGTCACTGGGGAAACGCCCGCCTGGTTCGCGAGGCTGAGACGTCGGACGTTCCTGGTGCAAGACTGCGGACTCTGCAGAGTACGGTGTGCGGTCTGCTTCGTCTTCATCCATCCCATCACTGCTGTTCCGCCAACTCATGCCACTCACAGTTCGAATATGCTGCCTCACATATGCATTCCGAGCCTCGCCAGTCTTCGAGATGAGGCTCTCGATGTCTTCATACCAGGCCATCATCGTATCGTGCGACTCCGCGCGGAAGACCCAGGAATGACCCCGGTGCATGGTCCCGGTTTGTCGCCCCTTGAGCATGAATTTGTGCGATGTCGAGTCTGGCTGCGAATGCGACCCCAGCTTCTGCTCGGGAAGGTTCAATGACATCACCGGTTGTTGCCATGCGACTCGATCGGCAGACTTGAACTCGTGAAGATGAGTAGGAGACAGAACATACCTACTCAAGTCAGGAAAAAATATTTTAGGAGACATGGGACCTTCATTTCGAGTGATACTTACCAGCCGGGTGTATAGCTCTTGAGGTACTTGCTTTTGCGCTCCAACATCCCGGATCGGACCTCCACTGCCGCGGGATGATCCCTACCCGGGTATGTGATATTCTCCACATCGCGAAGAGGAACGCGCGGATCGACCAGTTCATCCGTGTTCGCGATGAAGGAGTTCCACTCATGATCATGAGGCATGGAGATCGGCCCCGCGCGCAGTTTTTCGACAGTGTCATATGTCTCATCTGCTTCACGCTTGAGGATGCTGGCATATGCGTTATATGCTTTCTGTATCTCGCCTACAACGATGGACTCGAGCTCGCGACCAGAATGTTCTAGGTTCAAGAATGCCTAGAAAACGTTAGTGCTCCGCATCCTACAAGTTTGCTAACGAACCACATACCCGGTGCAGGTAGTTTTCCTCTTCGATTTGCTTCTCAATTTGCCTGTCCACGCCCAGGCGAACGATGAAAGGATCGCCTCTACCAGAGGTTGCAGAAGGGTCGGTGTCAACCAAACCCAGCGCTTCGTGCAAGTGCCGAACCGTTTTGCGGGTGGCGTCGACTTCCTTTTCCACGGAGTTGCGGAAATCACCAGAGAGACCCCGAATTTCCTTGGTCTTCTTCTGCAGATCGTTCCGCAAACCCATCAGCTGGTTCACGACCTCGCTTTCCACCTCCGCGGCTTTGTTCGCTTCCAGGTATCCTTGTCGGTGAAAGTCGCGCAAAATGTCGGTCGCATCGGACAGACCACCGGACTTGAGGAACGTGGGGGGAAGCGATGTGTTCTGCATGATATTGGATGCTGATAGGAACAATTTCGATCGGGTTTCGTAGGACTTCTGCACTTCCTTGAAGAAGATAATGAGATCCTTCAGGACCTTGCGCCATGCTACCATGAATTAGCACACCAGAGACCCAAAACCGGGGACAACATGCTGAAATACCTTGGAATCGATTGGCCAGAACCTCAGTCGGGCTGCCATTCGTGGGGATAGGAACATAGAAAGCGCTGTTCGGATCTTCGCCATCGGCGCCATACTTTTCTTTGTCACCCAGGACCAGGCTCCGGACACTGCCCGCGCGCAAGCTGCGCTTGCTACCGCTGCGGCGCATGCTGCCCCTCTTGCTGAGGGATGCTTTCTTCTTCAACGTACTGGTCCGGGTCGGGGTCGCGGAACGGGTCTGTGACATTTGGGAAACGGATCGCTGCATGCCGGATGGACCGTCTACCGAGTCACGCTGACTGGCGACATCGAATTCCTCGTGAAAGCGGCCGTTATACGGGTGAGAGGTTGGTGCCTCAGGATTGGCGCCGTGCGCAAGGTAACCGGAGGTGCTGGCGACGATCGAATTCGGCCGGGAGCTAGAGCGCGTGCTGTACCCGCGATTTAACAGCAGGTCGGGGTGGTGTGGAATAGAGCCGTAAGTGTCCTGCACTAGCGTTTGCGACTTAACGGCCATAGTCATGGCTGGACAGGAGGAGGGGAAAGGGAGGGAAGAGGGGGAGGGAGGAAGAGGAGGCGGAGGAGGGCGGTGATGTGACGGACAACGGAGAGGGTGGTAGCAGTTGGGAACAATCGGGCGGTGCAGACCAGGCTAGGCCCGTGTGTCGATATCGAGCGACCGGGTGGTTGCAAGCTTGGGTGCAAGACAGTTCCGGATGCGGGCGGCCGTGATAAGAATATAAGGGTAAGGTCTGATAATATATCATGAAACGCGATACAAAAAAAGAAATGAGAATAGGAGGGGAGAGAGAAAAAGGAGAGAGATCTGAATCCACCACCCCGGAACGAATCACGACGGATCTAGTTTTGGGGGGAGGGGAGAAGGGAGACAGGATAGTACGGAGTAGATAGTAGGAGTGGTAGTGTCAAGCAAGCCTAGCCGTGGTTACCAGGGCGAATTGGGGGGAATCAAGCAAGTGGAAATTAGCGACCAGCCGGAAGTGTCTCGACTCTGGCCCAAAGGGTCTGGGGCGGACTGTTTGCGGGGGCAAAAGAGCCAGCAACAACTCCTATCCGTCCGGCGCAATGGTGCTTGTCGTCGTCGTCTGCAAGTCGGTGCACCAACACAGCAAGTAGAGAGGAAAGGACGGGTTAGCGGGTGAGACTAGTACGATTGCGCTCGCAATAGTGGCCGGAGTAGTCGGTGCAGGAGCAGGAATAATCAGCAGCCGATCAGAACGCGTCTCGGGGGTTATTATTTAGTTTCCCAGGGAGATTGGGCCCCACCGGGTCGAAAGGACGAGGGAAGAGAGGAATGGATCCCAGAGTAATAGTAAGTAATAAGGGAAGCGGAAGCCAAGTGGGAGTAGTACGTAGTATAACAACTACTAAGTACTGAATGAGTGAGGTAGGGGCCAGGGGAGAAGTGTAAAGTCAGTGACAAAAGATCCGGCGGCAGGTAGATCGACAATATAGTTGGTAGTGGAGGGATCCAACTCATCCACAAACAGAATGTAAAACTCAGGAGAAAGCACGAGAAATCCTCCGATGCAAGTTCAAACTGTTTCTCTTGCTTCTTGCTCGTCGTGATAAAAGGGGGGGAAATGATGGAAGCTATAATTCAAGTGCCGGTTCCGGATGACGTCTACGCCGGACAAAAAGCACCCAGTTGTTTGGTGAAAGTCTGCGACGGTATGACGCCCAAAGGTTGGAACGGAATCTCCGGGCCCGACTTGACTTCACCAGATCCTTGAACTAGAACCAGCCAGACACACGAAGAGTCATGCAATCAGAGCTGAGAGATCGGGGTAGTCGCAAAGTAGTTGTAGATAGTTTGCTTGTGATCGTGGTCGATCGGGATGGTCTCCTTTTCCAGAACAGGACCACAGATGATACCGCATTCGTCGCTAATTAGAGTCGACACTCTCAAGAATAATACTAGTAGTATAAAAATAACCTCCCCACGGAAATGAAGAGGAAATAAATATTAATAAAACAGAAGGATCTGCTCCTAAGGAACAGACAGACAGACAGGCAGGCAGGCAGATAGACACTGTTAGTAAGTAGTATTGCTGGGGAACTGGAAGTGGGTTTAATGCCGTTGCCTGTTCCCTTGTTCAGGAGAGGCGAAGCTGGCAAGTCATCGTCATCACTTCCCCTCCGCCAACATCATCACAGTTCGTATCCCTCCCAAAATAATTATAAGGGTCCCCAGTAGTAAGCTGGTAGTAATCGTGAACTACCACTATCGTTGAGTGTCTCCCCGCCAGGAAAAATCATTCTACCTTTCGTCCTTGCTGTTTGAGAAGACAGTAGTGAATCCTACCGTGCAGCACCACTAGCAACAACTCACTGAATTGGCAGCAGATAAATTCAAGGCCGGACTGAAGGAGTGGCTTGTTCATCGGTCTGCACTTACCTCTTCTGGACAAGCAAGGCTGGTGGGTGTGGCTATGCTTGCATCTGACTGGCTGAACGGGCAAATTGCTTGGCCGGGGATTGTCCGCTGGGCCAATCACTCTCCCCAATACATACTCATCTAAGCGGAAATGGCAGTCATCATAAAATAAATTCATCCACATAGTCCAAAGTATCATTTTGTACCCTCTCCACTGAGTCCACCAGCCCGCTCATCGGGGGGTTGGCTTTTCTAGCGCCGGCGCGCAATCGTTCTTCATGGCTTCGATGGAGTTCCCCCTTTTCCCTTCCCTAGGTTCCCTTTCCCCCCTCCTGCCTTGCCCCAACGCGGTGGCAACTGTCCATTCCACCCACCACTCTCTCGCGAACTGCACGTAGAGAAGAGGGAAAAAGGAGGCTGTCGGGCCGATCGTCGTGGTTCTTGTCTTCCCCTTTTGGGTATCGTCAAGGCAGCAAACCAGAAAGTCCGACACCAACTTTGACCCCTCGACGTCATGCACGGTTCATCATGTTCATGTCGATCCGGATGGATTTCCTGCGATGGGGTTCGACATTGGGATTTTCTTTTCTTGTGTTGCAGTACTTTGTACGGGTACACCCACACACACCTTGCCTCTTGACTTGCTTGCTTACTTACCCAGCTGAACTGCTGTGGCTCAGGAATTCATCTTGTTTAAGCGTCGAACTTAAATTCTTCAAAATGTATTTCTAACGCAATCATGAGCCCACCGGCAATCTCCATATCAATCTACTTGACGTTAATAGCTCACTACTGTACATGTACTAGAGTGTTGCGAGTGTAATCTGCAAAGCTGAGATTAGGGAGTTAGTAGCAGGGTCGACGGTTGGTCCAGATTTAGTAGCAATCTACTTTATAAGCCAGCCAGCACTTACATACATACATACTGGGTAAATGTATTATGCATAGCGTGCAAGTGATCACTGCAGTAATGGCAAACAGACTATTTCTGCCACCTTACTAAGTAGTTCTTATCCATCAATTTTCAATGATGAAGTTATCCAATGAACATTGACCGACGGAAACATCAAACCATATCCCAGCTGCTGATCCGATCAACTCCGGCTGGTTCCAACCTTTAAAGGGGGGTGTTTGGTTCCCTCCCTCCCCGGGGGGAAAGAGAGTTGATATCATGTTTTCCCCTGCATCTGATTATCGTGCACACCCCCTTGTATCAATGTCAATAGATTGACAGAAACCACCACAACGTACTACTGCTCACCCTTTCCCCCCCTTCCCCCAGCACCGTAACACCAGTCTCATACTACTCTACTCCGCGGCTGTCCTGCAGGTTGTCCTGTCTGTTCTTTACCTTACTTGGCACTTCGTTGCTGACCTGCCCGACCAAACCAAACTTGAAACATCGTCTTTCTACAAAGTACATGCTATCTATTTACGTAGTGCAGGGAGAGAACAGTAAGAGAGAGAGAGAGGTTCACTTCATATTCTGTGTGACCAAACTGCCACACCCATTTTGCCGCCCGAGATTGGATAAGCCGGCCGTGTGATTGGCTGACAGACTGGCGGGTTCAGTTGCCCTCCCCGCCTTTCGCCGCTTCGATCCCAGCAGTCAGCCGGTATTGGTGGTATCAACTTATCGGCGGTGTCACTGTCACCTGCTTGTGCTTTTCGTCTTACTTACCGATCTTATGGAACCTTTTCCAGGGAAGTGAAGCGTACAGTAAGATGGGGAGAAAAAGCAAACTTGCATATTGCCCCTGCGGTGAACAAGTTGTATAGTAGATGATAGTTTTGAGTGGTTTCTGAGATAAGTTGTTCTGTGTCTACTGACCGGGCACCTGATCTGTCTCTGCTGAGCTATGCTATGCTATGTTTTGCTTACCCCTCGCCTCTCACAGCTTGGCTGCTCTCGGTGAACAGATCATGCATTGATGCTATGTAGAGGTACTAGCTGGGTGTGCTGTATCTATTTTCGGGAATTGTAGCCGGTACTTCTTCACGTAGAACAGAAAATGGAATCTTCATTGGTGGAGGTGCCATGTCGGCTAGCTGAACGGCATCGACAGAAATAAGAAAAGATGTAGTAGTAGTTTTACACAACGAGACTGAGAATTGAGGGACTGCGCAGGAGAGATATCTAACAAAACCATGTTCATGATGCCGGAGCCGTTGTGGGAACCTCGATACCGTATGCCTCCTTGATTCTCTCCGCCCGTCTCTCGGCGTATCCGGGGCCATAGATACCTGTGTAACCGGGTTAGCAACCTCGTGGGTTCTCTTCCAGCAGACGGCCATCTGCCTCCAACAGAAGAAAGACGCACCTCGGCCCTCGCCCAATTCGGCAAGAGTCTGCTCTGCGGGGATTCTGTATGTCTTCCGGAGCTGTTCCCGACGCTCAAACTCGTCGATATCGGTGTTCTTCTTGTGGCCGAACAACGATCCACCGGTGTATTCGAAAGCGCCCGTGGCCGTGGCCAGAGCGACGCCGTAGCCCAGGAGGGCGGGGAATGTGCGAGCTGCGGACCTGTCAGAACCAATGTTTGATCAATTGAACGATCGGATCGCGGGCAACAGACCTCGGAGACCCAGGATGGCGCCGGAGAAGAAACCTCCCAGAGCGACGTTCCAGTGGTCTTCCTTCTCACGGAGGTTGGCGGATGCGGTCTTCACGAATTCGTAGGTACCTCCCATGGCGGCTGGACGCGAAAATCGTTAGCAACCCATTGAATCCAGAACATATTCGCTAGGCGTCCACAATTGCATTCATACCGAAGATACCGACGGTGCCACCGCTCCGGATGAACACGCCCAGCGGGCCGACGTTCTGTCTGGTGAGGGTGTTCTGGACGGCCGAGGCGAAAAGACCCGCTCCACCAGTGAGCATAGTGGTCTTCATCGATGCCGCGATCGCATCCTTGGGGTGGTAGTGCTCTTCGTGGTGCGGAGCCATGGTGGCGGTTGAGGAGCTGGGGATTAAGCTGTGGCTGTCACTCTCGAATGTCGTCCGGACGGAGATGAGATTCGATGAATTTGGGACCTCGCGCTTTCTGCCTCAACAGACCGCCTTCCCCAGGTTCCCAGCTTTCCCAGTCCGTTTGACCAGAGCATCTGATCTATGCCCAAACCTCTTGATTTCCTCCCTTGGCGTGCGGGCATCATTCTCTGTCACCTCCTGCACGCTTGGTGGTTGTCTTCTATCATTTTTAAAGCTGTTCGCGTTGAGAGTGGCGGGTCGTTCGCTGTGAACTTGCCGCCTGCTCTGCCTCACTTGCTGAAGTGACTCCCCGCTGTTACGACGATCTAACGGTCCAGCTTTCTGTTTCCAATAGAATCGAATGTGTTCGATACAATAACGTGGATCATCCCTGCAAGAGAGTCGCGTCGTTATCCTTCGTTTAATTTACAGACTTTATGTGAATAACCCCACAGATAGCTTCTAATTCCGTTTGCTAAGGTTCGCCGGCAACTGTGAGCTCATAAGAGCCTACCCATGTCGTCTCCGCAGAAGCCTGGTATGCATCACAGCCTCCTATAATCCGGATCACTTTCTCAGCGACCTGAGCACCTGCAAAGAATGTGCAGTTGGACTAATAATTATCTCTTCTTCTTCTTCTTCTTCTAGGCAAGACTGCCCCGCGTCTTGTGCAAGATATCCACGACTATGACCCTGTTCATCCTCCAGGCTCCGGCCGCAACCTGCTGTCGGAGGTCCCCCCGGTCTTCCCCGATCACTATATTGGACCATCAGAGTTCATATCGCCTTCAGCTTGCCGTCACACTTATGTGATCAAATCGAAACAAAGCTTCCTATCAAAGCCAGAGCAGAGAAGCAGCTCAGGCAACCCCACCAAAGTATCAGCGATTTGCTCCAAGTGCCGATACCATCTGCAGCTGGTCGTGACATCGACACCTGGGATCGGCAGCCAGAGTGTGCCGGGACACATACACCATCTGGTATATAAGTCAGGGAGGCAGAGAGGAGGTGCAACGGCAGAAGAAATTACACCCAAGGGCCAGGTGGCGGAGACTTTCCATTATGACTGCTCCTACCTCACTTGTCCAACGACAGTGTCCGTCAGGATTGTGTCTCCTGTGCTACATCCGGAATGGGTACAGCTGTTGACCGATCCGGAGTTGCTGCAGCAGCGAGCAGATGAGGCGATTGCAACACACCCCGAGCGCCTGGAAGGGATAGCTCGGCCGCAGCCCATTAATGTCTTGGAGAACTTGCGCACATATATCATCAACGCCTTCAATCCCAGTCAACAGGGTAAATCCATATCAGCTATCAACAAGAGGTTCATGGCGTGCTTCGGTGTTGAAGGCAAGCCTTGCAAAGACCTGTTGGAGTTTTTGGGTTTCTCTGTCAAGGTCTGTAAATGCCTGCCGATTGCTGCGACATCGATACCTAACTCTACATAGAACGAAGGTTTCTGGGAGCCTCCGCGCCCCAACGCCTGGGCCGAAGTCCCCTACCAGGATCAACTCAAAATATTCCTCGATGATGTTCTACATGAGCTTGCTGTACTCATCGAGCAGAGGCCAGTACTTGAGAAGAAGGGCCACCAGGTTGAATTCTCATATAAAATAGCAAAGAATGACCTCTTGAATGCTCTGGAAGCATTAGACTGTAGGTCAAATCACCACTCTTTCGAAGGCCGCATGCTTACCAAGCTCCTTCAGACCAGAAGGCTCTCAATGTCGACTCATTCGAAATGCCCCCTGCTCCGTACGTGCTATACAAACTTGACCTGTTGACGTGGACTGATGAAGGTTTAGTTATTACGAAGATTTGGGCGTCGTGGAAGACATGTCTGCGCAATTGATTATTGAGGCGTTCAATCGCCAGGTCGCTGTAGACCCTGGTCGCATGCCCACATACCTGAAATGTCTCAAGGCGATAGGTAATCTTAGAGGGGGCTACGAAGCTGATGCCATTGACCAGGCCGTTCAGGTGGCTTATGCCGACGGCAAATACACTGATGACGATGTGATCAATGCTTACAAGTACTTCGGTTTGACCCATGACGATCCGCGGCTTACCGAGGACAGCATCATTGGGACCTTCCATGCTTACTTGAGCTCCACCACCCAGGAGACAGAATCGCGCAGAGAATTGTGGAAGATTGGAGACAGCAGGCGCAGTGAGCGCATCAAGTCAGCGGCCGAAGATAGTGAGATCTCCCACAGCGAGCGTTCGAGATCTGCAGCTAACAGGGTAAAGGAGTGGCAACTGTTGAGCAAGCGCAAGTTTACCTTGGTGTGAGCGAGGAGACAAGCGATGACTTCATCATGGCCATGTATACAGCTAAGGTACAACGCCGCCAGTTACTAATCCATGTAAATGTGCGCTGATATCCTTTTCAGGTCAATGACACACCATCAAGCCGGGATCTTGCGCGCCGTGCCGTTGAATTTATTGCGGAGGCGCGGAAATCGGATGCTCTTCGACACTTCGTCAGAACTGGCGAGATGACAGCGGGTGAGATGGATATCGGGGATGCCTACCGGCTTCTCCAAATTCCTGATCGTACCGTTGACGATGGAGCAATTATGGCGGCTTATACGATATGCGTCGATGAAGCCCCGGGACAAGCTGAGACGTACAATCAAGCCTTGCGCATAATTGCCAAAGACAAGAATAGCACGCTCCTGGGAAGTATGGTTTCTGATGATACAAAGCCGGACCGTAATATGTCGGAATGGCCCGTTGGATTGCAGAACATTGGCAACACATGCTACCTCAATAGTCTGCTACAATTCTATTTCTCTGTCCGCCCATACAGGGAGATGGTCTTGGATTTTGAGAGTTTCAAGATGGACTTGACTGATGAGAGCCTGAGTAAGAAACAGGTGGGATCACGCAAGGTCTCTAAGAAGGAGGTGGAACGTTCACAAAGGTGTAAGTGCGCTGTATTTCACTTGTATGACCGTAAAACTAACGCAGATTCTATGTAGTTCTCAGAGAATTAAGGACACTTTTTTCCGACATGATTACTTCCCCATCCTCTCATGTCACACCGGGCCAGGAGTTGGCGCGGTTGACATTGATCAGTCCTTCTAACGAAGCAGCGATACGTCGTCGGTCTACAATCTCCGCGTACAGGCCCGCGGGTGCCCTGGGTGAAATCAACGGCATGCCGGTACTAGGACCTCTTGGGCCGCCGCAACCGATTCCGGAGAAGGAAGTGGAGAAAGAAGCGGAGAAGCAGACGGCTACCGAAAGCGAGGGTGTCAAGCGCTCAACAGTTAGCGATGTCGATAGCGAGGCCACACTTGTCTCTGATGGTGTCAAGAATGACATTAAATCTCCTCCGATTGACGATAAAGAGAACGAACCTCCGGCTGATCTGGACTTGAAAGACGTGCAGGATGAGCCTAGTTCTGATTCCGCCGAACTAGGGTCCCCCGGCGATACAACACCCATAGACAATGTCGAACCTTCCAATCAACCACCGCCAGTGCCTCCACGACCCACCCCACAAGTCGACCCCCAGAAGCAGCTTATAGAAGAGGTAGAGATCGGAGCGCAGCAGGATGTGACGGAGGTTATCAACAACGTGCTTTTCCAGAGCCAATGTGCTATCCGGCCCATTGCTCATTCTCCGGAGGGCGAGCAAATTGATCAAGTGAAAGAGTAAGTCAGGAGCCGTCTGGGCACGAATAACCCATGACTGACTGCCTTGTCTATAGTCTGTTCTACGGCAGAACTCGATCTTATATTGCTTCAGAAAAAGGCGTGCGGTCCAAAGAAGAGTGGTGGTGTGACATCAAAATCGATGTTGCAACTGGCCCTCGTGACATTTATGCAGCTATTGACGGTGCCTTTGACGTACAGAAGGTGAATGTAGAGAACTCGGTGGCTGAGCAGTACGGTGCTATCAGCAAGCTCCCGCCAGTGCTTCAGATTCAGGTTCAGCGTGTCCAGTTTGACCCCACGACGAAGCGCTCATTCAAGTCCACTCACCATCTCGGATTGAAGGAGACGATTTATCTTGACCGATATATGGACTCGCAGCAACCGCAGTTCCTGGAGCGGCGACAGCAGTGCTGGCAATGGAAGAACTCGCTCAGAGAGCTTGAGGCGCGCCGTGCGGAGTTACTGCGTCAAGTGGTAGGTTGCGCCCGCATCGCTTGTTGTGGGCCCAGACATCTAATTCATAATCTAGGATTCCGACGGCATGGATACGGCGGGTTTGCTCAACAGCGCTAAGGAAGTACTCGAAGACTTGGCAGCTATGAGAGAAGAGCCTGATTATGCAGAGGACGCGATCGATTTTGACACGCAAATAATCACCGAGGTTGATCAGCTTTCTCAGATAGCAAAGGCTGACTTGAACTGTGCGTCCTCGCTTCCCAAGTTTTGGCCTCTGGTATGCAGGCGCTAACTCGAATCAGATGTCGAAAACCAAATCCAGGAGACCCAGAACAAGATCACCGCTCAGTTTGCCGACTATAAGTACCTGGCTTATCGCCTGTTTGCCGTTTTCGTCCACCACGGATCGGTCTCCTTCGGCCACTACTACATTTACATCTTCGACTTTGAACGGAACGTCTGGAGGAAATACAATGACAACTATGTCACCGAAGTAAACTACCTGGATGAGATCTTCAAGGACGAGGGGCAGCCCAACCCGCCCACGCCATACTTCCTAGTATACGTCAACGACACGATGAAGGATCGGCTCGCCGACCCGGTCTGCAGGGAAATCCTGGAAGAATCCACGGCGAATGCCAATGAAGATGTCGACATGAATCCACCAGCGTACGACGAGATCTGGACAGACCAGGGCGGATCAGGTACGGTAGTCGATCACCCCATGACGGAGGTTAGAGACGATGCCAATGCAGGATCCGACAAGACTGCCTGGGGTTGGCCACCGAAGACAAGCACTGACTTAGACCATGTAAAGTGGTAGGCTCAGAGGTCAAGCCGCCGGTCCGAGACTCGACGTCAAATCCACTCAAACGCAAGGGCCTGGGCGATGATGGAGGCTAAATCCATACTAGGCCTAGACTTCTAGGGGACGCCTACAGTTCAGCTATAGAGGTAAATTGCAGGACTGGACATCATGACCGAGCAAAGACTTTAGAGCTGGATGATATGAGGCGGGGATGACTGCGAGAATACAGGCTATTCTTGTAGTTATATTGTTGTTCCGTTTGATTTGTGCGGGCGTGTAACTTTTCTGACGATATCCTTTGTGCATGCGCTAGCGGAGATGTTGTCATGATTTCCTGTACATAGCAGGTGATGTCCTCCATCATGATATTTGATGATAATGTACCATGTCTTTTTCTGCCTTGTCTCCTTCTCAGATAGAATCAACCTAACATATCTATCTATGCTGCAGTGACAGTCAGTTTAGTCATGACTTCGGCGGCGGGTCCGAAGCGGGCCGCGGATCGGGATCGGAACAACAGTCGGCAGCACAAGTGGGGGAGAAGCTGCCCTGCAGGCTGAATGACCGTCGCATGTCTGTGCATGGGACTTGAGGCCATTGCACCAGAAAACCTTTAAAGAAGTAACTGGATGATAGTTACCGGCTCAGTAGGAAATAAAGATCTACATTTCCATCATTGAGGTACACAACATAGACTAACCCAAGGGGTCGGATCTCCTCAGTATATAGGTTATGTGTTGGCAGTACAAGTGCGGGGAGAATTCCGGGGAAGGCGGCATGGCGGCTGGCGTTCCGCAACTCCGCATGTGGCCGTACTTACCCATTCCTCATATAGCCTCCTCTTCTCCGCTTCCTTCACGTTCCTGATACCTTCATTCTTCCTTCTTGTGTCTCGGGGGTGATTGTCAACTCTGGACCCTAACGGCTTTTGCGCAATTTGACTGCCCACTGTAACTATCGAAGCTACATACATATATACCTCTACTCGTGGTCCATCATGCCGTCACAAGTGGCGACATGTCTGCGCCTTGCGCGGCAGTTCTCTGCTGATCCCAGCAAGGTAAGGATCTTTGTGTCACCAAATGTGACTAAACTGGAAATGATAGTTCTGACATATGCATTTACTCCAGCACCAACGATTCCTTGCCCGTGCTTTCTCTAGCAGCATTCGTCGACCTGAGATCAACAAGGTTGTGTCTTCCGCAGACATCGCAATCAAGGATATGAAGTCCAACTCGACATTATTGGCCGGTGGATTTGGTCTCTCCGGTGTACCAGACACACTGATTAGCGCGGTGCGCGCGAATCCCTCCATTACGGGACTGACAGTCGTCAGTAACAACGCTGGTGTCGACGGAGCGGGTCTTGGTCTTCTTCTCCAGTCTAAGCAAATCAAGAAGATGATTGCTAGTTATGTGGGAGAGAACAAGACCTTTGAGCGCATGTACCTGACCGGAGAGATCGAGCTCGAGTTGACTCCTCAGGGTACCTTGGCGGAACGTTGTCGTGCCGGTGGTGCGGGCATCCCGGCTTTCTACACCCCTGCCGCCTGTGGTACCGTTGTGCAGACGGGCGAGTTGCCTCTGAAGCATAATTCCGACGGAACTGTCGCGCTCTACAGTGAGCCTAGGGATGTCAAGGTCTTCGATAAGAAGAGTTACGTCATGGAGGAAGCGATCAAGGGTGACTATGCGTTTGTGAAGGCCTGGAAGGCTGATAAGCTGGGTAACTGCCAGTTCCGCTATGCTGCGGCTAACTTCAATGGTGCCATGGGCCGCAATGCGAAGATGACAATCGTCGAGGCGGAGCATATCGTTGAGCCGGGCGAGATTGAGCCCGCTGCTATTCATCTGCCGGGCATCTATGTCAAGCGGGTGATTCAGAGCACAGCCCCCAAGAACATCGAAAAGTATACCTTTGCCAAGGAAGAAGGTGAGGAGGCGGTTGCCCTGGGCAAGGGTGATACTGCTGCTAAGCGCGAGCGCATCGTTCGTCGTGCGGCGAAGGAGTTCAAGAACGGGATGTACGCGAACTTGGGCATTGGCATGCCCATGCTGGCGCCTAACTTTGTCGATCCCTCTGTAGAGGTCATGCTGCAGTCTGAGAACGGCATCCTGGGTCTGGGTCCGTACCCTCAGAAGGGACAGGAGGATGCTGATCTCATCAACGCTGGCAAGGAGACGGTCACGCTGCTGCCTGGAGCTGCTTGCTTCGGGAGCGAGGAGTCCTTCGGTATGATCCGTTCGGGACGGATCGATCTGACTATTTTGGGTGCTATGCAAGTCAGTGCCCGAGGTGATTTGGCAAACTGTAAGTGGTCCATGTATAATTTTTTTTTGAGAGTGTCTGGTTGACAATGATTGGTAGGGATGCTGCCTGGCAAGATCAAGGGCTTCGGTGGAGCTATGGACCTCGTATCGAACCCCTCCGCCACCAAGGTGGTGGTGACCATGGAGCACACAGATAAGAAGGGCGGTCCGAAGATCGTGAAGCAGTGCGAATTCCCCTTGACCGGAAAGACGTGCGTCAGCCGGATCATCACTGAGCTCTGCGTGTTCGACGTCGACTTTACGGATGGACTGACGCTGGTTGAGCTGGCCGATGGAGTCACCGTGGATGAGGTGCGCAGCAAGACGGAGGCACCATTCAAGGTGGCTGATGATGTCAAGCCGATGCTGTAGATCTGATTGACATGATGAACCTCACTGCAAATATGTATAACTCGGCGTTGTCAATCGACAACTGACCTGAATCCCCAAACACACCATATATACCACGCTGTATCCAAAATAATGCCATTGAACAGATACCAATTTTTTCCCCAAATATTACACTATATATACAAGGTCGTAAAGTACAGAACCAGAACCAGAACCAGAACCAGAGCCATTTTTTATAATCCCTTCTTCACACATGCCATCCCATAGTACTAATACAACACAACACCATAAGAAAATATGGCCACTACCATCACTCCCCTCCTCTCCCCCAATATCCCCCAATATCCCCAAAGACAGACAAACTACCTCAACCTCAACAATCCACCCAACCTCTTCTTCAACCTCCCCATCCAATCCCTATCCGGCGCCTCATCGAACTCCCGGATCACATTATCGTAATGATCCGGGTTACTCGCCGGTCTGCGCAATCTCGGCGACAGGGGGTAGCGTCTCGCGTACCGGTCTTCGAGGAGTGAGGAGAGAGCGTTGAGGGATTTCTCGTCGATGTTGACTTTTTGTAATTGGCCTTCTTGTTGAGGCTGTTTCTGAGAGGTGGGTTCGGTGGATGAGGGTTGGAGGCAGGCTTGGAGGTAGTTCTGGACGGAGACGGAGGATGGGCGCACTTTGTCGGTTGGCCAGTGTTTGAGGAGGGTGGTGATTCGTTGCTGTGGTTGGTGTTTAGTTAGCTGGGATGCAAGAGAGGTGGGATTGAAGAGGGTTTGGGTTGGGGTGGTGAGGGTCGACGTACTGTGTTGGATGCCATGGTGGGATATCTGTGTGTGAGGTTCGTGTGATTGTAGTGTGAGTGATAGGGGCGAGGGTATTGTGAATGAGAGAAGCGCTGGAGAGATACTGTTCGAGGTCTATCTAGATGTCTGTAGATGCTCGAAAAACAGCGGAACTGCCTGAGGCGGCAAGGCGGTCACGGGCGCGGCAATCCGGAGGCGGCAATCCGGCTCAGCCACCGCATGCTGATTGATGCTGCTGATGCTGCTGCCTTATTGCCTGACCTGGACTTCTCTCTCTCTCCTCTCGTCATCTCCAGCTGATCGTCTCCTTCCCATCTCCTTTGAATCTCCCCCCCTCAAAGTCCCATCCACGTTCTTTGCGCCTCCTTTTATTGCCCCTCTTCTAATACCTACTTTCGACGCCGTTGATTTCTTTTGTTTCGTCCCCAACCGTCCTTTACTCCGCTCTTTCCCGGTTTCCCGCTCGCTCAGCTCGTCATGAGCTCGCAGCGTTATCAACGGGTATGAGGCACCCACGTTCTTGATAGAAGCCGTCGGGTTCGGCATTTGCATGTCAGAAAAACAAAGTACTGATACATGGGTCTCTATATAGGTCAACGCCCGTGATGAAGACGATGATGATACCCCCCAGTCACACTCCTCTATCCCTCTCCGACCGACACCTTCCTCCCCGCCTCCCTCATTCCACTCTCGTTCCTCCTCCCCATCATCGAGACGCCTACTCCACGACGATCCCCACAGAGACCATGCAGACCAAACCCTGGCAGATGCGTTCGGTGATGGCAGCGATTCCGAGTCCGATGAAGAGCCCGACGATCGTCAGCGCTTAATGCGGGCTCAGCCGGATTCCCGCCCGGTGGCGGACACCAGCAGCGCCGCTGCGGCTGCATCTTCTTCTTCAAGCGGTTCAGAGCAACAGTCTGGCGACTCGCGCATCGGTGGAAGCCTTCCTCGACGGCAAACGATTCTGCCATCTTTCAGTACCCCCAGTTCGGGAGCGAGTCGGGTGATCAGTTCGTCGAACGATGGTGTCTTTGCTAACCTGGCGGCTAAGCCGGAGCGCGGGGAAAAGAATGAGGATTTGCCTCCGGTAGGTTGATTACTTGTGGGAATTGCGATGGGATAATGGTTGCTGATGATGTGCTGTTTTATAGTCCTACGAGGAGGCTGCCGCAGATGCTACACCGCCGTATTGGGAGACGACAATCCTCGCACCGGGTATCTCTTCGGACGAAGTGTTTGTGGATGGACTGCCGGTTGGATCGATTTTCTCGTTTGTTTGGAATGCCATGATCTCCATGTCGTTTCAGTTGGTTGGATTCCTCTTGACCTACTTGCTTCACACAACGCACGCAGCCAAAAACGGTAGCCGGGCTGGTCTTGGCCTCACGCTGGTGCAGTATGGTTTCTACATGAAGGGTGGCAGTGAGTCGAAAGGATCGGATGAAGGAGGCGCTGATTACGTGACACCCCCGGACCCGAACAGTCATAACTTCGATCCGAATAATGTCGATGGTGGTGCGGGTGGTGATGGCGGAGGCGGTGCCGTGTCCTCTATCACCACGAGCGAATGGATTTCATACGTCTTGATGATTGTCGGGTGGTTCATTCTGATTCGAGCTATCAGCGATTTTCTGCGGGCACGCCGTCACGAGCAGCTGGTGTTACAGAGTCCTGAGCGTGGGCTTAGCGTTCCTGTCATTGCAGAGGGCGAGCGATCGGAGACGGTTGTCTAGGGAATATGGGAATCTTGGTCTGGTCTGGGTACAGTTCACTTGGGAGCATTCGGAGTTCATTTTCCTTCCTTTGCACGATTTCGTTATTCTTATAATCGGCCCTACGATCCAGTTGTAGGATGGATGGGAGCCTGCAGAGCATTGGTAGCCTATCGTTGACCGGGTTCATCTTTTCGTTATTTCCTTTCTTTTTCTTTTTCTCCTACCATTTACACATCATGGTCGGTTCCAGCTATTGCACGAGTTACCGGGCCTGTAGTCTAGAATACCTTGTTATCTTGTTTGCGAGATACCTTTGGCAAGTGAATCCAAGTGGAAACAATTCGACTTCCATCTCTGTCACTCCTTGTTGTTCTGTACGATTTTTTCTAGTAGTAATAAACAGTGAGACATTTGGCCCAATTGGGAGTTGCCTCGTTCCGATTTGCCTTCAGCAGGCAGCCTTATTTTCGGGACCCTTGAATGGAAGCATCGCCGCTGAAGATCGTCCGCCCTGCGACTGGGGATGTTCCCCGTCGCCCCGGTGTGCCTGTTTCTCAAGAAGTACTCTCAGACTATTGTTCTGCTTGAGCTTGCTGCCCGATGCTGATCGTCTTGGCGGTCTCTCCGGTTTCTCCGCGTTGATCTTCTTGTCTTCCGCTCTCCTTCCTCCCCTTCCTTTCTTGTCTTTCCCCTTTCTATTATCACAAGCGGTTACCTCTCGCTCTGATTCTCCTCATGTTCATTTTATATCCAGTCAAATTCACCTCTCCGTGACATTTCCCCCGCCTCTCTCTCCATGACCAAGGTTGACGCCGCGGGGGATGGGGATTCCGCCCCGATGGCCGCCTCGCCGCCGAGTCTCCCCAAAGCCCCCGTCGAGGCTCGCTCGCTGTCCTCCATCACCGCAATTGCCTCCAATCCCCCTGCCTACCCGCGCAATCCTGCTCAGAAGAAGTTGGATCCGTTAGTGCTGTATATTGTGCGGGTCCCAGGCAGTCGAGGTATGTCGCTTACCTGCCATTCCGATCGCTCAGGAATGCCCCGCAGAAGCGGTGGCACCAAACATGCATATGATAGATCAACTGACCCTTGTTTTCTTCCGTCCTCTAGATGTCTTCCTCACCCCCTTGAAACCTGCTACCAAGTCCAGCGTTTCTGCCGAAGCCATCAATTCCTCCCTGTATTATTTGCATGTCGCCACGCCCGAGGATGACGTCCTGCTGCAGGAATACGAGCAGGAACGCGAAGAGGAGGCTAGGTTGCGGAAAGAAGCCCTTGGAGACGAGGCGGAGGCTCCTCTGCCTTCGCGCGAGTTTGCGCGACTGAACAATGTCCGGCGCAAGCCTGTTCCTGGCGCGGGCGCACCCAAGGTCGATGCGACCGCTCCTCCTCCTCCTCCTGCGCGCCCTCGCCCAACTTCCTGGCAGTCGCAGGGAGCGCCGTCGCCGTTGAATCCAGATCTGCAGCGCCCTGCCCTGCCTCCCCGTCCGAGCTTCCAGGGTCCTGCTCATGCGAACGATTACAATCCTGTCACCCCGCCTTTTGCGCCGGTCCATCGCGACCCCGTCCTCGAGTCCGCGCCGCTTGATGATCCCATGGCTGCGCGCCCTTCGCGGCCACTGCCTGCTGTTCCGAGAGAAGAGCCCGTGCTGGGACCGCCTCTAGACCCGCTGCCGGCGAAGAGGGCCAATCGGTGGAGCACTGCGCTGTCGGGGTATCTGGCAAAGGGCCAGGAATCGTGGAAAGAGAAATACGATGCCATGTCTGGTGGGCGGGCGAGTCTGGACTCAAGACGACCCCCGGTTAGACCGCATTCCGCTCATGGAAGTCCATCACATTCGTTTCTGGGGTCGCCCTCTAGAAGCCCAGCGAGGAGTCCTGCCAGAAGTCCGGGCCAGTCCCCTCGCCAGAGGCCGCATGACAGAGTGGTGCCTGATCGTCCGGGATTCCATATCACCTTGATTCGTCGCGATCCTACGCATGGCAGTCAGTGGAATGTTGCGACCATGTCAACGCCCCGGATGGATGGTGGGCCTATCGACATCGATATCCTCACCCCGGGGTACAATCGATTCACAGCGCAGAACGAGCCGCTCTCCCTTGCGAGTCTGGGGATAAACCTCCCAGGCGGCCAGTCCATATCGTTCTCGTCGTCCAAACAACCGTTGGCTGATTTGGCCGATCTTCCACCTCCTACTTCCGTCCCCAATGAGCCATCTCAGCCCCGACGATTCCACCGCAAGCTCTGCGTCTCAAGACCATACTTCCAAGAGGAGCCGCGAGGCTCTTTGGACCTCCCGGGTCGTCCGTCCCTGGACAGCACTGCCAGTGGCAGTCCCACGAAACCGCATGCCCCTCCTCACTCCAAGCTGAAGAGCGGTTATTACACCTTCAACTCACCTTGGAATGGCATCTGCACGTTTACAACGAGCGTCAACGGCCGCAGCCTAAAATGCAAACACATGATACCCACCCCTGGCTTCCCCAACGCCAG